AGAATTCTATATGTTAGCGTATCTTAGACCATTGGGTCTTCCATAGCAATATAACATAGATTAAGTAGCTTTTAAACACAGAAACTTATTTCTCTTTCATTTTGGAGACCAGGAAGTCAAAGGTCAAGGCATCCACATGTTTATTGTCTGGCAAGTGTGCTCTGCTGTCAGAAGGCCGAGTCTTGTATGTCTTCCCATGGTGGAGGAGATAGATAGCTCCCTGGACTGTCGCTTACTTAGACACTAACCTATTCAATGAGGTTCTGATCTCATGGTCGAGTCACTGCCCAAAAGCTTTATCTCTTTATACCATCCTGGTTAGAATTTCAACACATAAATTTAGCGGGGAACCCAACATTCAGAATGTAGTATAGCAGAAATCCTGTGATATTAAACATATCTCTTTCTCTCTCTCTCTCTCTCTTTCTCTCTCTCTCTCTCTCTCTTTCATGTGTATCTGCTTTTGAAAGGCAAAGCCCTCACATGTTCAGTGTTTCTGAAACAATTCTTTGGAATGCTATTGTTTCAAGAGATATTCTTGGATGTTCATAAAAATGTGTTATTTGATCAGAAAGAACTTGGGAATTGCTACATGTCACAGCCCCTAGAGCAAGTTCCATAACACAAAGCATCATATTAAAAGCTTAGAAAGACCTTGCAGTAAGGACCTCTGTTTAACTTTGTTTAATCTAGTGTTTCCAAAACTTAATTAACAATGGAAATCTTTTTCTTAATGAGATTTTTGTGTGTGTGTCACTTCCTGGGCCTTTATGTCATAAGAACAGACTCTATGAACACTGCTATAATTCTTCAGGGATGTTGTAGTTTAGCTCTAGAATGTCCCTTGAAATTCTCATGTGAATTTCTCGTGAATGTGCTGTAGCAGGTGGAGCCTGACTGGAAGAGCCAGGTCACGGGACTGTGACCTAGAGTGGTGCATCTCCTTCCCTGTCTCTTCTTTTCACTCTCTGCTTCCTGGCCACCATAAAGTGAGTAGTTTTTTTCTACCAGGCACTTCCACCATGTCAATTCTGCCATAGAGCCAGGCAACCAAAGACTTAACTATGAACCAAAATAAATCTCTCCTCTACATTGCAGGTGTCAGGTATTTTGTCCCAGTGACAAGGAAAGGGACTAAGGCTGGGGAGAAAAGATAAGTTTAACACTGCCTCTTCCCATTGGTTATGTAGAGAAAGCATGACTGGTGAGAGCACCAGACCTCTTACCCATCACCACCATCCCACACCCCCATCTTACAGAAGAACATCACTGACATAGGCTTACAAATGGCCTTCCTCCTCTGCCCAGAACAGAACCTCATTTTTTTCTGATACCAGGGTTTCATGTGCTTCAAGAAGCCTCTCTCATGGCAGATGGTGAGAAGAGATTTAAAGACACTAAGTAACCTCGGGGCCTGGGGATTTAGCTCAGCGACACAGCGCCTGCCTGGCAAGCACATGGTTGTGAGTTCGATTCCCAGTACTGGAAGAAAAAAATAAATAAATAAAAAATTAAAAAGTAAAAAAAAAGAAAAATAAATAAATAAATAAATAAGACGCTAAGTAATCTAAACTCACAAAATTCCAAGGTGGCAAAGCTGAGAACCTTTCTTAGCCTGGGTTGCTCAAAGAAGAAAAACGCTTCCAGGCAAAAACCTATGTGTCAATAATTTATTCAAAAATGTGATGTTGGGAATTGGGAGTAAGGAACGTGCGAATCAAAACAGTAAAGAAGGGAGAATCAATACTAGGATGTGTTATCAAACTGGCTGTTATTAAAAGAGAACTTTGGGCTTAATCCCGCATCCATCTAAAAACCATATGAAGTGTACCCCAAGGAATATTGTCCATCTGAGGCAGAAGTATGCACCCATATGTTCCCATTCCTTAATGATGAAGGGTTCCCACACTGTCTCCGGGGGATATTAAGTTCTCTACACTAATTGGTGGCATACCTGGAAGGGCTTAGTGGTTTTACATGGGTGCCTTGTACTGTGCCATCAGAAGAAGCCAGAAAAGATAACAAAAGACACACTCCAGGCATACAGGGTAAGACACTGATGGGTTGCATCCTTGAGCCTCTGTGGCAATGGTCACCAGAATAGCAGCTGAAAAGAATGAGCACAAGAGGATATAAAGTGATGCTCAAGAGCTGACTGATACAGTCCACCAGTTTTACCACTCATTCCTTCCCTGCCTTTAATCCAAGCTATCAGAACCCCTTTCAGGGTGGTGACTGGCCACAGTCTCTACAGAAATAATGTAACAATCTTCATGAAACCTTCTACCAGCTTGTGATGTATCTTCTGTTAGACTTCCTCCCGTCTTTCCTCCCGACTTCCCCATATAGCTGGAGCTGCCTTGGAGCCATAATTAATATTTATCATCTCCCTCTTCCACCACTCTTTGTGGGTTCCTTCTCTGTCAATCAGCACTTTGGCTTGTTTGAGTTGCTTTCTTGCTAGGGCATCACCAAGCCTCAGAGAAGAGTCTGAGTCTTTAGTTGCCTTGCCCATATTAGACCATCTCTGGTGAAACTGTTCATTCACCAATACAGATGATGATGAATTCCACAAGTTCTAGCCATAATACCCTCTGCCCTTCATTATACAGAAGCCAACACAGTTCTTCATATTTACTAGGGTTAATTAACCACTAGTAAAGTAACTCCTTTCTTTGACTATTAGTCCACTGGCATAGGAGGCTAAAATGACCTAGCAGTGATGGTAATGGTAGAGGCTTCAAGGTATAGCACTAGTTATTTACCTTAAAGAAGTGTGTTGGTGTATCAGTCAACTTTCCATACTGTAACAAAATACCTGAGATAACCAGCTCTTCCTGATTTAAGAACTCAACATTTCCTAAAAAGAGGAAAGGTTTATTCTGGCTCCCAGTTTTGGAGGTTTTAGTCCATACTCAACTGGTTTTAGGCCTGTGGCAAGACAGTACCTCATGGTAGAAATACATGGTAGAGGAAACTTCTCACCTCATAGTAGCCAGGAAGTAAAAGAGAGAGAGAGAGGAAGGGATCAGAGTTCCAATATCCCTTCAAAAATAGGCCATCAAAGACCTAACTTCCTCCCACTAGGCCCCACCTCCTAAATGTTCCACCATCTCTCAATAGCACAACCAGGCCTTCAACAAGTGGACTTCTGGGGCACATTCAAGATCTAAACTATAGTATTTGTTATGCTCAAAACCAGGAGAACTCTGAAAACTTATAGTAGTAGATCTCTGAATCTTTGGATTCTGATATGCATGTGTCTTAGCAGAGTCACTTCCATCTCACAAATTCAGTTAGCATGATTCATCAGTGTTGTTAACAGAGATCAGGTGAGGCTGTTCTAAAGATTAAATCCCTATCACAGAGAAAGTACTTAATATATAGTTTTCTTCCTTCACACAAGTTATTTATTTATTGTCCTCCTTAATGCACTGTACTTTCTTAAATGTTATATGTGGAATACCTTTCTTATGAGCTTAATCCAATGGATTTGGCCTATGCTTCCCTTCTCAGAAAACCTACCTTTATGATTTGCAGAACTGTGAGCTCCCTGAAGCATTAACCAAACCACTTTAATCATTAAGAACTCTTCAGACATCAGAAATTCCTAGAACATAAATCTGTGGATTTAAACCAAGTTATTTGAGTTGGATTGATTTGAGGATGCTCTAAATAAGTCCCAAGAGCCATTTCTGTCATTGTCCAAATTCTCTGGCTCGGGTGCAAAAATGGAGCAACAAGGATTTTCACTAAGACTTTTCTCTGGGGTCCTCTTCCCGAATGGCTGCCTTTCTTAGACTGTATTTAACCCCTCGAGTTTCCTTGATTCATATGTGCAAATTGTAGCCCAGAAGAGCAGCAGCAGGTGGACAGCTGTGGCTCTGGAGGCAGAGACTTGCCACTAAGACACATGAAAATATTTTGTACAATATCACAGCTGACCTTTATCCACTCCTCTCCCATGTTATATTATCTTGGCATTTACCATGCACCTGCTGTGTGTTAAGCACTCTGCTTTTATATAGATTAGCTCACTTCATGAAGAGCAGAAATTCCAGATTATCTCTGGGCTGGTAGAGTCCATCGATATTCTTGGATTGCTGGTCTGTTTCCAGATCTGATAAATGAGTGAGCGTGCTATCTGATCTCGCAGTATTCTTCCAATCCACATTTGCTAAAAATTCTACACAGCTCTTAAGTCTAATTTCTTCATCTAACAGAAGCCACAGTAGAGTTTCCTAGCTTCTCCTAACCTCAGCTTTCCCCCAGCAAATGAAGCCTGAGCCAGGACTTGGACAGCAGAGGGCTTAGATTTTGAAATGCCCCAGGAAGGAGTAGAGAAATGAGAAAGATAAATAGGGAAGTAGGGAGGAGAGAATAGAGAAAGTCTAACACAAGAGAGCTGGTCATCACTATTGGAAATTGATGTTCAATCTTGCTGGGATCTTCTGAAGAGCCACATAGAATGAGCCTCATAAATGTCTCTTGGAGGATGTGATAGTTAACTGGTTGTGTCAACATGAATAGGAAGTCCCCAACTGATTGGATTAGCATAGTTTTGGGTGTGGCTGAAGGGATTTACTGAAAACAGAAGACCAACCCTGGGTGTGTGTGGCACCAACCAGTAGGCGTGTTGCCTGAATGGAATAACAGGAAAATGAAGAAGGAAGGTTCACTGTGCTTCTCCAGAGGAGCTCTAGTCTTCACCATAGTCGTAGTCTCCTGACTTCCAGCACAAACTGTTCAGAACTTCCACTGAAGATGCTTCAGCCTGCTGATTCAGACTCGTGCTACGGTGAGCTTCAGGCCTTCTAACTTTGACTGGATCCTTCAGATCTCCAGCACACAGATGGCCTCTTTCACACTCTTTCACATCTGATTCTGCAAGTGGCCATTATAAGCCTACCTAGTAAATCCTTATATATTTATATATCTTATATTAAATCTATTTCTTTAGTGAGCACTGACTAATACAGAGGGGTAGAAAGAGAAGAATATTTATCCATTGGCTTCTGTATTAGTGCATTTTCTTAGAAAGCCTATAAGGAAATACCTCAGGCAGGCTAAGTTTATAAAGAAAAGAAGTTGATTTAGCTCATGGCCCTGGAAATTCAAGGGCATGGCACTTGCGTTCCTCAGTTCTGGTGAAGGCATCATGGAGGAATGGCATCACAATGGTGGGCACATGTTAAGGAGCCAGAAAGTGCACTGTAAAACAGAAAACCAGAGAGCCATTCGAGGGTTAGCTCCAACAAGAGTGGACTCAGGGTCTCTTGAAAACTAGCTTAATCCTTTCCCCCAGTGTCCTAAGGACTTCCCAGTAGGTGTCACCTCTTAAAGGCCCCGACCACCTTCCAACACTGCCACCATGAGGACGAAGCCTCCAACATATAGACCCTTGGGGAAGAAACTACACCCATCCCATTGGAGCTCCCACCCCAATGGCCAGATGTTGTCCAGTGGGGGTCAAGTCCCTCCAAGTTGTAATCATGCCCCTGCCTAGCATTTTCACACAGTAATCCTGGAGAAGCCCAAGATACAAGATGCAGTTTAGACCAAGCTAGTCAGGGCCTTCAAGTTGGTTGCTATAATAATGGTGTAAAAGGTGGGCCAAGAAGGTATACAATTAAGATTTCCCAAGTTGAACAAAAAATATGGAGAGCTCGATTAAATTTGAATTATAGATAAATAAGAAATTATAACTGACCATAAATATGTTTCATGAAATATTTTGGAAATAGTTGTGCTAAATAAGTTATTCAATGTTTATCAGACATTCAAACTGGACTAGGTACTGTGTATTTCATCTGGGAGGCCTAATGCACAGCTGGACATGGAAGGAGCACACTGCAAAGCCTCAGCCCTGTCCCTACAGTCTCCTGTATGGACTTTATCTATCTGCCTTGTCATCTTTAAATTTCCCATTTCACCAAGCCTTGAGCACAGAAGTTGCTCAGTTCTGAGTGAAGAGCTGTGATTCACCAGCACAACGAAGCAGGAGCAGTAACAGGACAAAATACAGCAGAATAAAATAAAGTGGGACATAGATGAACTCTATCTAAGCAGCTCCTCATTCACTGGAATGGTGCTGTCCCATAAAGTAGCTGCCAGTTGCATGCATCTATTGAAGTTCAACTATAAATAAGTAAAAATTCTGCTCTTCAGGAGTACACACCACATTTCAAGTGCTCGAGGCGCATGGGGCTAACGGCCAGTACACAGGATGGTGCAGACATCGAGCTCTTCCATCATCGCAGGAAGTTCTATGGAACAATACTGTAGGAGCACAGTCAACATTCACACGAGCCAAGGGACCCTTTATAGCTTAATCTCAACCACATTTGGCCAGCTCATCCCCCGCCACGCCCACCCCAGAGGCTCCCTTATTCTCTACACCGAACCACATGTTCTTCCTGGCCAGTACTTGCACTTGCCCATGACACTTTCCGCAGGGTTACTTCTGGTGAGAATGCCCTCACTACCCAGTACCCTACCCTCCCCCTGTTCCTGTCTGCAGACAGTCCTGCTCACCTCTGAGGGTCCATGACTCTCCCAGGAAGATCGGTCTATTCCTCCCTGTGGTTTCACAAGCAGCACCTCCTTTTTTTTTTAATTTTATTTTAAAAATAAAAGAAGGAAAACATATTAATAAACAGACATCCATTTACAAAATAGCATAAGGACAATACAAGCAATACAGAGTTACTACAAAGTGGTAGGAAATTAACAATGGTTGCTGTATTAAGTATCGATATCTTCAAAGTGATTTCTCAGGAAAACAAATAGAGACATGCAAGATTGATCAAATAAGTAATCATTAACTGTTCTTTTCAGTAAAGCGATAGAAGTCAGTAGTACAACTACGTTAGCTATCCTGTATATACATTCATAATTTCCCCTTCTTTCTCCTCTCTTTTCTCTCACCACAATTGCTCTTTACTTTTGAGCATTTTCCTTTCGTTTCACAATGTCTGTCATACCTTCTAATTTTTATTCACTCTCTCAGGTTCTTACACTATGAGACAATACATTGCTTACACATGGAAGTCTGGTTTATTTCACTTATGGTATGGTCTCTGGTTGTGACCATTTACCTGTAAAAGCCTCGAGTTTATCTTTCTTTATAGCTGAGTAATATTCCATTATATAAAAGTATCACAATTTTTTTATCCAGTCCTCAGTGGATGGACATTTGGGTTGCTTCCACAATTTAGCAATTACAAATTGCGCTGCTATGAACATGGGTGCACATATATGGCTCTGATATGATGTTTTCAGATCTTCTGGGAAAATACCCAGAAGGG